CACTAATAAAAAAAGACCTTAAATAGGAAAGAATTAGGACAAAACCCCAAAAGCTATGTCAAATCATCGAGCTTGACATTTGAAAAATTATTTTCACATTTTGACACAATCAAATTTCACAGATGACACAATCTGTTTGACAATTTGAAATTGGCGCGCAGAGCTCGCCGACCAATGGTGCCGTGTATCACCTGTCACGTAGTGACCAACCTGCGCAATATCATACCTTGTATTCTTTGTATCATGAACTAGGGGTGGGCAAAGACTGAACGAGTCGTTCATTTGAACGAGTATTAAAAATGAATCGTGAGATTCGATTCATTGCTTATAATCCGGTTCGTTTCATTGAATCGTAGCCAGTACGGATCCATAAGATTTGAACGATGAGCCGTAAAAAAGAATCGTGAGAACTGAATCGGATCACAATGCGATCGTCGGTTCAAAGATTCGTGGGAATTGATTCATTGCTTACAATACGGTTCGTTCAATTGAATCGTGGCCACCACGAATCCATAAGATTTGAACGATGAACCGTAAAAAAGAATCGTGAGAATTGAATCGGGTCACAATGCGATCGTTCGTTTCTACGGCGCGGCGCCGGTGGGCGGTGATATAGGCAGGCACCAATATTTAGACTTAAACAAAAGCCCTAATAAACATCATAAAATGCAAACGATAAGAAAGTTATTTACAAGAAAAAAAATTATTTATACTGTGCTTAGTACGGGAGAATCTGTAAGGTATTTAATTTTCACGTTAATATTTTTATTGTAAAATAATATTACCGACTATTACATGTCGGACTAAAAGATGAAATCGTGTTTTTATGCAACTCCAAATAAATATTGTTGGACTCCGCTCAATGTGATAAAAAACGGCGTCAGCGATGGTTATAAAATGAAGATCGCTGTCATTTTATATGTAAAATTATATGGGAAATGTCATCGATGTTCATTTCCAAGCCAACTGGACGCCATTTTTTTTCGGTCATGCGGTATTATATACTATTTATTATGATTATTAAATCGGAATTAAAATATGGCTCTAAAAATATTAAATTGGTATTAAGAAATCTTAATAAATAGTATATATAAATTACAAATTCCAATTACGTCAGTGTCATAAAGTGTTGAAAAACAAATGAAAGAACTGTATATTTCTTTTTCTGGTCCCTTAAGTAATTATCCTACTAAATTATCGCCGGTAGTGCCAGTTACGATTCTTGCTTTTATGAAACGTAAATTGTGCATGTGGTTCGTTCAAATGAACGAATCGTAGGAGTCGATTCAATATGAGAATTGAATCGTGTGATTCGATTCGCCAAAAAGAATCGTAATGCCCATCACTAGTATGTATGAACCATCCATAACTTTGATTTCTTACCGGTTCAATAAAGTAACATCCTGGTTCAATTGTAAATACCATCCCTGGTTTTAAAATTCTGGCTGTTCTTAGTTTATTCAAGCCTGGCTTGGTTGGTCTTTCTGGTTGACCAGCTAAATACCCTCCTACGTCGTGAACGTCCAAGCCCATCAAATGGCCCAAACCATGAGGCTAAAAGTTTAGTTTCATGACATTCCATTCCGATTGTGAATTTTTATGTTCTGTTTAAGCTAATTTTTGAGTTTGTGCTATTTAACTCGAGATAAATGAAACAATTACACATAAAAGACAAACAAATTGAGAATGTGATTTACTTGAAAAATAGCTCCTAATCCAGCTTCAAGCATATTTGTGACGTCTCCTTGTAGAAGACCTCCTTTCTTCAGTTCTTCTAACAGAATTTTGTTTGCTAGACTGTGCATATCTACCCAAGATACTCCAGGTTTAACAGCTTTATATGAACTGCTCTGTTTGCTGATAAAACAGCTTCATAAATCAACTTTTGATCAGGGGTAAATTTTCCATTAGCTAAAATTATTGTATTTGTTAAAAACATATTCTGTACAGAATTACATCATCTGGGATAATATGTTTTGCTACAGTTTTGTTAAATACTTTTTAATGTCTTTGTTTTTGTATCTTTCTATTGTGCGTAAACAATTAAATATTTATTTCTGTCCAGAAATTGACTAACTACAGGTATGCTAAATCTAGAGCAGTATTACATCATTTGAGTTAATATGTTTTGCGTTAACAATTAAACAAATAATTAATTCTTTTGTGTATCTTGTGGACGTTTTTAAAGTGGGTACGCTGTATATTTTCTATATTTAATCAAAGGTGTCTGCACCATACCTGGAAATGAACAAGTAATGTCAGCAGCGTATCCAAAGTAGTTTCCTCCCATGTCAAAAAGACAGACGGCGCCATCTTTAATCGGAGAACTGTTAGGAGCACCTGCATGACCGTAATGTAGAATGGCTCCGTTTACACCAGAGCCACAGATACACGTGTACGACACGTGGCGACAGCCACCTTTGAGAAATTAAATTAAAAAATTAAACGATTGGATACAAATATAACAAGCATAACGAGTATTACCTTTCTTGTAGCATGCATTTAAAAACTCTGATTCAGCCTGGTATTCGTAATTTCCTGGTCTTATTTTTTTCATAACCTTAAAATAAAAAATATACAGGGTTCCTAAAAAACTATCAGTTTCTATTTCAGATTTTCATTTCAGTCCTCTTTATTAAATATGAGGGAAATAGAAGAGCACAATGTTTAGATCTGTATAGATGATGACATAAATATGACATTATGGTATTTGTGGAAAGGGTATTTAATCACTAATGACCTATGCAAGAAATATACGCTACATCCCATCTAAAGAACCACATCTTCAGTGTAAAAATTTATCTGAATCGCCCTGTATGTCTGAAAATATTTTTAAAATGTACAGGGTGGGTCAAATTGGACGCTTTTAAAGGGAAACATCCTTTTCTATAGGAGATAAACGAAAAGTAATATCGGTGTCTTGAGCTCAATTTTTATCAAAAACATGGTGGTGAAAACCGCACATCGATATCTGTTACGAGGTGTTTTTAAAAAATGTACATTTTTAACAAATCGCTGTAACTTTTTTCTATGGAAAATTTTGAATTTTTATGAAAACATTTCCAAAG